CGTGAGCGCCCTGTGTTTGTGTACTTCCGGCATCGGAGCACTCTAGTTATTTACAAAATAAAAGTTTATAAATAAAATTAAAAAGTAATCCATCAAACCAGAATGAATGAATGCATGATTGAATAAAGCAAAACTGGCAAAAACAAAATGAGAAAATCATAAAAATTCTCTAAAATTATTAGTAGGATCACAAAATCAGTATTTTACTGATGACATCAAATAGGGAATTATACCTTTTATAATTCTGACGTAGTCCGTCATATCACCTGTTTTACTACACTTTCCTAAAAAAATATTGAGTTATGAGTAATTTACTTTACAGTCTATGGTTCCTCGTATCTCAGTATCTCAGCCTTTTTTTTTTTACAGTCTATGATCACAGCAAATCTAAATTAAAACATTGTTCTGATGAAACTAGTTTAGGGGAGAACATATTTACAACTAATTCAGTTAAAAATATATTGATTATTCAAAATGTTTTGAAATGTAATGGTAGCACCGTTGCAGCTTTCGTTTGAAAAACATTTGGCGGCCGTGCACGCCGGGACTCCAACGGAAATGCGTCAAGGGGACTCTTAATTTGTTTTACTATTATCGTAATGGCGGAGCACACGGAGGCAGAAGGCATTGGCCTGGCCGCTAACAGGTTAGGATTTTGCATTATTTTTCATATAACTCAAACGACCAGTTATACTTAGTCTTGTTTTTTCCTTAAGTGTCAACTGGGTAGTGCTAGTGTTTCCCAGTTGGCTAATCTGAATCTTTTTAAAGCATCGTTTGGCCTGTTGGTTCGTGGACAATGAAAGCAGCGTAACAACACACGACGGAATGTTCTTAAACCGTCTTGATGTTTTCATTACACTTCAGGCTATAGAATGTGGTTTAAGATACGAAAGCACATCATATGACATCTGTTATGTTAACTCAGGAAGGTTTAAACGGGAGTATAGTTCGTGAGAATCTGTCTGTCTGCAGTAGTCGTTGTGTACTGTAACGGTTTACAGATATTATTGGTTAAAGTTTATTTTCGCTCCACCAGCATGACCCAGCAGCCAGCACTGCGTTTCCCTGCCACTGCACCTCCATCTGCCAGCACCTCCACCCGCAGGCAGCCTTTACTGAGCACCCCTGTGCCTCCCTTTGCTATGATGAGGGGTCCTCCACCCGCTGCCCGCCCGCCCTTCGGACGGATCCCCTTTGACCCCAGTGTGCCCCCTCCAATGGGTGCCCCACCTTTACAGGTATGTTTATCAGATGCCGCTTATTGTGTAATTCTTTAACTTTGTGTTGGAATAGAAAGAGAAGGTTGGGTGTTTGGAAGGTTTCTCTGACATCTCCAACTTTCAATTTAAGAGACCCCCATTTATGCCTCCGCCCGGAGGATCCATGCCACCTCCACCTGGCATGATTTTTCCTCCAGGAATACAACCTACAGCCTCTCCTGCTCCTTCTCCTACTCCTCCTTCTCTGCCCTCTACAGAAGAGATCTGGGTGGAGAATAAGAGTCCAGATGGAAAGGTACAGTTTCTTATTCTTAATGGACTAAAATACTGTTGATTTCCAAAGGGAAGGTGGCTTTTGTTATTTTTACTTCATATACAGAGTTCTGATCTTGCTATTTATTGTTCTAAAAGTCTTGATGAGAGGATTTGTTTAAGAGAGCAAATATTTGTTCTGACAACATCCACAACTGACCAAATCTGGATTATAGTTATTTCTTAAAAACAACCTTTAAAGGGTATTGAGTCGGAAAGAATTTTAAATGTTTTTGAAAGTTTGTTTAATGTTATTTGTTTACCAATATTTGTTTCTATTTTAATGAATTACATAAAGTAATTTATTTCTTTGACGTCAAAGCTGAGTTTTCACCATCATTATTCCAGTCTTCTGTAATGTTGCATGATCATCCTGAAATAAGTGTTACATGCTAAATTGGTGCTCAAGAAACATTTAATTTATTATCAATGTTGAAACTGCTGAAAATGAATAGAAAGTTAAAAAGATCAGCATTTATTGTGAAATAGATTTTTTTAACATTATAAATGCCTTTTCTTGCTGATCCAAAACAAATTTTGAACTAGTGTATATTATAAGAAATATTTTAAATATTATAAATATTCTAAAGGTTTTATGTAATTTGAGAGGCAATTGTTGAATTTCTCAACTGAAAAACATAAATAATTGTATTTTGCATTATAACAAATTAATGCATAATCAGTTGGATATTGCATAATGCTTTTTTGGGGTTCATGATGCCTTGTATTTTCCCAGCCAAATCACAAGCTCAATGCACTGTTGCATTGTTAGTCTCTTTACTTGATGCAGTTGATATTATAACGGAATACATTGTTACTTTCTTTACAGTGCACACAGTTTGATCTATAGTCCTCTTTTGTTTGCTTTTATTCTCTATTCAGGTGTATTATTACAATGCACGTACAAGGGAGTCGTCCTGGACGAAGCCTGAAGGTGTGAAAGTGATCCAGCAGGCTGAGTTGGGTCCAATGATGCTGAGCCAGGCAGCGGCGGCGGCAGCAGCAGCCAGTGGAGCTTCCACCGGGCCCGGTCCTTCCATCAGCCTCCCAGCTTCAGTCACTACAGCCACACTCACCTCCCAGAGCCCCTCCACATCCATGAGCTCCATTTCCTCTCCCAGCATCACAGCAGTCTCACCTCTCCTCCCAACACCTGTATCAGGTAAATGTCATTCCTGTAAACCTCTAAAGCCCAATGTATTCTTTGTTTTTTATGAGTGAGCTAGTACTTGGTGTATGCTTAATGTGCACATAACGCAACTTTCTGAAGACGGCAACACGTCTAAACGGGTACAAAGAATCGTACAAACATTGGACAAGTATACGGTGCGACACACACCGTGTCCTAATAAAAAATCTGCAGTTGCAATCATTTGCGCAATGTAAAAACACAGAAGTACTCTATTCCCAATATGAGTATTTTTATTCAAACTATTACTTCTTTCATTGCCTATTTCTGTACTTTGGGTTAATTATGAAATATTTATTATCTTATCTGTCATCTGTTCAGAAATAGTATTCTGGAGAAATATTTTGTTTCATTGATCCTTGATGGATTTTGCAGAAAAAATATTTAATCAGCTCATCAGTTGTTTATTAATTTTGTTCTGTTATCAAAAGTAAATCAAGTGTTACCATTCTGTTTTCTCAACTGTAGCCCCTGACATAGTGGAGATGCCGTCAGTTGTAACCACAACCCCCAGTCCTATGGCAACCCCAATTGCAGCTGTTAATCCGCCAACGGTTACGGTCTCCATGACTGCAGGACCTCCACCTCTGCCGGTGGCATTGTCTCATACTGTGCCACAGCCCACTGCTCCAATGCAAGGGTTCCCTCCTGTCATGGTACCACCCTTCAGAGTGCCCCTGCCTGCCATGCCCATTCCCCTGCCCGGTAGGTCTGACCTTTGAACTTTTTGAATCAGTCATAGCCTGTTACAGGAATAGATCACCCTAAAATGAAAATTAATGGTACGTTTACATGACAATGTACTAAAAACAAAAAAGTTGCAATTTTTTCGCATTTACAGACGACAACATTGTAAAAAAAAAAAAAAAAAAATTATTTTGACATTTTTTAAAGTCCCGTTTGCACTCAGTCAATAGTTACCAGCATCAAGCTTTTTAAAAAGATCATAAAAAAATGATGACTTAAAATTTTTTATTTTAGGGTGAACTGTCCTTTTAAGAATTCTTCAGCTTTAGTGTTCTCTGAATGCAACTGCCTTTCTCTCCTCAGTTCCTTGTCTTTCTGTCTTTTTCTTACAATGCAGAGCATGTCTGTAGTTTGACAGGAACCTGTAGAGTCGAAAAGATGCCCTTGTCTGCTTATTGGATGAGTTAACTAACATCTTTAATGAAATCGTATGATGTAGATGATTCAAAGCAAGCTCTATTGTAATAAATATAATATAAAAAAGTGATAAATGCAGTCTTAAGTACTGCATTAATATTGTAGTGTTGCAGAAATGTCTTCTATAGATGGCTGTAATTTGCCATTTTCATGTGCCAGCAACATAGGCTGGCGTTATTGCCTAAATTCAGTTGACTAAAGATCAGTTAGCAATGTTAGATAATACTGTAGTATTTTCATCATAAATGATCTAGCATTTACTCTCCTGACACCTGAAAGCAGTAGATGACGTATGTTTGTTTTTTCCAACACTCTGTGCTTGCTTATACGCTCTTTCAGGTGTAGCAATGATGCAGATAGTCAGCTGTCCCTATGTAAAGACTATCTCTCCTACCAAAAACGGTAATTTCCTCCCCATTATGGCATGTTAGTAACTGTTGTGCATCTTTATGCTTTCTTTCAATGTAATTATTTCCAAATTAGAGGCCCTTCTGTTTCTTACTAATTAGACATTCTTTTAAAGGGATAGTTCACTTTGAAATTAATTTTTGATATGTTTTAGCTTGCCTCAAGGGCATCCAAGATGTAGGTGTCTTTGTTTCTGCAGTATTTTCAATTTTGATATTTTGATATTATTAATGCAGGTCTATGGTCACCACCTCAAAGAGCATGCACAGAGAAGTCCAAATTAAACATGATTTAATGACTCGTAAATGTAAGTACACATTGATGGTCTAAGACACGAAACGAGCAGTTTGTGTGAGAAAACGAACAGTATTATATATGGTACTAATTTGCGCTATATGGGATGTGTTGAAACAATGTCTCCAAACAATTATGTATGCTCGCGCGAACTCTTCACTTTCGAAGAGATCACTTCCGGCGCTTGCACAGACCGAAGCGGCATAAAGTTACATCCTAAAGCACCTACTTTTTGTTATCCTGGAACAGTCTTTTTTTTTTCATTTCATGTCTAATGTTTGTGTTGTAGTTTACCTTGCTGTTTCATTACAGTTTACCATTATTTCAGCATATCTGAAAACTTGTAATTTATCACAATAAAAATAGTTCACAATAAAAATGTTGTTCACTGCAGTGCCATCGAATAGATAGTATATAGAAAGGAGAGAGGCTTGGGAGCGTGCATGCACGTCACATCCGATGGATTTGGCAGACAATCCGACCCGGAGACTTCACATAGAAATAGGAATACTGGCCTTCAGAGGTAATAGCAAAACCCGACAAGTTGGTCATTGTAGTGTGTGATTACAACCCCTTCACACGCAGGCAATAAAAAACACATTAATTTTTAGAAGAAAAGTTACATATAGCACCTTTAATTTGGACTTCTCTGTGCACACTCTTTGAGGTGGTGACCATAGACCTGCATTATATGACTGACAGACAAGAACGGTTTGACCTAAAAAAATCAAAATTGAAACTACTGCAGAAACAAAGACACCTACATCTTGGATGCCCTTGAGGTAAGCAAAAACATACCAAAAATTAATTTCAAAGTCAACTATCCCTTAAACAACATCATGCCACTTTTATGACTTGTTTTTTGACTTCGAAGGGACAGAAACTGATTTACTCCAACTATGTAAAATGTTAAGTTACAGTTGAGTTGTAGGCAGTAACGTAGATATTAAACTGCCATAGAATTTCATAAAACAGTGTTTTGATTTGTTGTAAATGTGTTCTTACCTTGTGTCCCTTTTTCTTTAATGGTTTTAATGTGATATTGTGGTGGTATTGTCTTTGCATGCCTCATTCTCATATTTAATTCAGTGTTTAGATTTTTTGTTATATTTTGTGCAGTAATTAAATCATCCAACACACATTGTACAGTGGCTAAATAATCATTTTTTATAACCTTAATTTCTGATATTAACCCCTTTTTTGAACTTGTTTTTTTTTTTGCCATGTTGTTTTTTAATACAACAATTTTTCTGTCATTTTGATTGTGGCAGAGAAGTGCTACATGTCTTGAATTGATTCTGATTGTGTTTGTTATGTCAAGGTATGCTTCATGGCATGGCACCACCTTTAGTACCCATGATGCCCCATCAAATGGCGATGGCCGGGCCTTCAGGACTGTCTGGAGCTCTGAGTACATCCGAGTGGTCTGAGTTCAAAACCCAAGAGGGAAAGTCCTATTACTACAATAAACACACACAGGAGACCACCTGGGACAAACCAGAAGAGATCAAAGAGACAGGTTAGACTAGAGACTGGGACAAAGGCTGCATTTACACTGCAAGTTTTATCTTTTAAACATATCTTACTTTTTTTGTCCCTTCTGTTTACATTTATTTAGGACACTGATATTGGCGTTTACATTAATCCCTGCCCAAACTAGAATTATTCCATTGGTGATCACTTGTAGTGACATGGTTGACCCTCGGGTATTGAATCTCTGTATATATATAAAAAATAGTTTTGTTTTTTTATATATGCGACTTGTACCTTTATCACTTGCCAGCATGGACATATACACTCACCAGCCACTTTATTAGGTACACCTGTCCAACTGCGCGTTAACACTTAATTTCTAAGCAGCCAATCACATGGCGGCAACTCAGTGCATTTAGGCATGTAGACATGGTCAAGACAATCTCCTGCAGTTCAAACCGAGCATCAGTATGGGGAAGAAAGGTGATTTGAGTGACTTTGAACGTGGCATGATTGTTGGTGCCAGAAGGGCTGGTCTGAGTATTTCAGAAACTGCTAATCTACTGGGATTTTCACGCACAACCATCTCTAGGGTTTACAGAGAATGGTCCGAAAAAGAAAAAACATCCAGTGAGCGGCAGCTCTGTGGGCGGAAATGCCTTGTTGATGCAAGAGGTCAGAGGAGAATGGCCAGACTGGTTCGAGCTGATAGAAGGGCAACAGTGACTCAAATAACCACCCGTTACAACCAAGGTGGGCAGAAGAGCATCTCTGAACGCACAGTACGTCGAACTTTGAGGCAGATGGGCTACAGCAGCAGAAGACCACACCGGGTGCCACTCCTTTCAGCTAAGAACAGGAAACTGAGGCTACAATTTGCACAAGCTCATCGAAATTGGACAATAGAAGATTGGAAAAACGTTGCCTGGTCTGATGAGTCTCGATTTCTGCTGCGACATTCGGATGGTAGGGTCAGAATTTGGCGTCTACAACATGAAAGCATGGATCCATCCTGCCTTGTATCAACGGTTCAGGCTGGTGGTGGTGGTGTCATAGTGTAGGGAATATTTTCTTGCCACTCTTTGGGCCCCTTGGTACCAATTGAGCATCGTTGCAACGCCACAGCCTACCTGAGTATTGTTGCTGACCATGTCCATCCCTTTATGACCACAATGTACCCAACTTCTGATGGCTACTTCCAGCAGGATAATGCGCCATGTCATAAAGCTGGAATCATCTCAGACTGGTTTCTTGAACATGACAATGAGTTCGCTGTACTCAAATGGCCTCCACAGTCACCAGATCTCAATCCAATAGAGCATCTTTGGGATGTGGTGGAACGGGAGATTCGCATCATGGATGTGCAGCCGACAAATCTGCGGCAACTGTGTGATGCCATCATGTCAATATGGACCAAACTCCCTGAGGAATGCTTCCAGCACCTTGTTGAATCTATGCCACGAAGTATTGAGGCAGTTCTGAAGGCAAAAGGGGGTCCAACCCGTTACTAACATGGGGTACCTAATAAAGTGGCCGGTGAGTGTATATTGGATATGACAAGTTGAAGTCCACAAATTGGATATGCATCTGATTTAAAACCACATTTGAAAGTGGCTCTGAGAGGATGTGGAAAAATCAGATTTCTGATTTCTGTGTTTGCATGTGTGCAACAATATTCAATCGGTGTCAGATGTAAAAAGCCAATAACATGAGGCAATGGTTTGACTTGTAAAAAGTAAATACCAATGGCATTTTCTTTTTTCATAATGTGTGTTTTTAGAAGCCCTAGTGCTATAATGTCTTAGCTAGCAAATTCATTTTTTTTATTAAGTTATAGTTAAAAGCATATAAGCATAAATTGTAGTTATTTAATATGCATATTAGTTATTGTGTGTTTTCCTGAATACAGCCTTCTGAAATGAGACTTTTATGAGATTTGACAATTGCTCATCTCCATATTCCCATTATAGAAAAAGAGAGTGAGAAGATCAAGGATGCAGCTGTTGACATGATTGATGCTGAAATCATGGACATGGAAGATGAAAGCCCAAAAATCCACCCACCAAAAGAGCAGAAAGAGGTTGGCATGGGTAACATACCTAGTTTTCTAAATAGTTTTGTATAAACGAGTGTTTCTGACATCATCTGTGCATTACGCAAAGGAGCTGAAAGATGAAGAGATGACAGAGGAACAGAAGGCAGCGAAAAAAGCAAAGCCTGTAGCAACCACGCCTATTCCTGGCACGCCATGGTAGGCAACTTGTTTTAACTACATTAAATATGCATTTTTAGTATTTGTAAATCACCCTCAAAATGAGTTCACTTGCAGTTACAGGTGAAACTCGAAAAATTAGAATATCGTGCAAAAGTTACTTTATTTCAGTAATTCAACTTAAAAGGTGAAACGAATGTATTATTTAGACTCTTTACATTTAAAGTGAGATATTTCAATCCTTTATTTGTTATAGTTTTGATGATTATGGCTTACAGCTTATGAAAACACCTTTTGCACGATATTCAAATTTTTTCGAGTTTCACCTATAAATGCCAAATGATATAGTTGGAGCTCTTGAATGTTCTCTCTTTGTATTGGATTGACCTGAACCCAATGCTTATGCTTATGTGTCAGGTGTGTGGTGTGGACGGGCGACGAGCGGGTGTTCTTTTATAACCCCACCACACGTCTGTCCATGTGGGAGCGACCAGAGGAGCTGGTGGGGCGGGTTGACGTAGATAAAGCGATTCAGGAACCTCTGCACAAAAGAGGCCTGGACAACAGCCACAAAATGGGTAATAGTCATCTCCCATATGCATGTGTACATATCTCTACTATCAAGTATTTGCATTTTTTTCACGACAGATTATTCATGTATTTATTGGCAGACGTCTAGAGAGAATTAAAATAACACTTTATCTAAACCATGTCCAGAACAAATTTGATAATTTAATATTGCGCACCAGTGAGCTTTTTCTATGGTTAAGATAGGGTCTGTAAGTCAGCTGTGAGCATGAAGCGTGAAGTCTCATTCAACAGCTTTTTAATAGCGGTCTAAATATTCTGTTGCATTTTTTGTGTGTTTCCTGTGACACAGTGTTGGCTAAAGAGGAACAGGAGTTCGCTATTGCAGATGACATACCTGATGATGAACCCAGTAAGGCCAAGAAACGAAAGTGAGAACTTTTTTCTGTATTTTCTCTGCTTAATAAAACCGTACAAGTTCATGAGACTTGGAACTTGTATCAAGAAAGTAAACAGGGTTGGTTTTGACTTTGTTGATTTTAATATTCCCCATTAGAGGAAATTGTCACTTGAAAATCCTTATTAAACATTCAGTAGTGGCCCTTGTTATTTAACTGACATTTAATAAAATAGAAAAAAGTGCTCAATGTGTAGACCAAGAAAAGCCAGGACAACCATCTAATGCATGTTTTTCATGTGACTTGACGTGAATAGGCCTGTTTGTGCTCAGACATGTCTTCTGGCTAATTAGTTGTTTTGTGTATTAGGATAGAGGAGAAGAAAGAGGTCGACTCGGAAAGGGAGGCAGCCATGGAGGCTGAGCTGAAGGCAGCGCGCGAGAGAGCCGTGGTACCTCAGGAAGCTCGGATGAGTCAATTTAAAGACATGCTGCTCGAGCGAGGGGTAAGGCATAAACAGTTTAACTATGCGAGCACATTAAGTAATATGTATTAGGGCTGTCAAAATGAATGCGTTAATGCATGCGATTCTCGTCCTGCTCTGTATCGCAACTTGACTTGTTTAATATGTAAACAAGGCAAGCTCTTTGCTGTTGCATTGTAGACATATTGTACACTGAATTCTGAAGTTTTTTTTTCATGTGTGCATTAACTTTTTAATTATATGGACACCATGTATTATTTGGTTATCTGGTGTACTTTACCTTGGAAAAAACCTTGTAGAAAGTAGTGTTGAGAGAACCACACCTTTCCAATCTAATAGTTTATTTGATGGATAAATGTGATCAATCGACAAAAGTATGCAATTAATAAAGGATGCAATTAATCACGATTAAAATGTATCTATTGACAGATATGTGTGTAAATAGATAGATAGACGAAGTCAGAAAGTTAAAAGTAATTCATACTTGACACTAATTAAACGAAAGTGATGCAACAATTATACTGCAAATAAATACTGTTCTTTGAACTTTCTATTGTCAAAAAATCTTGAGAAAAGTGTCACAGTTTCCATTAAGATATTAAGCAGCATAATATCTGTTTTCAACAGATATTAAATTGGTGCTAGTAAAGGGATGTTTCTCAAGCACCAAATCAGCATATTAGAAATAATTCTGAAGGATCATGTGACACTGAAAACTGGAGTAATGATGCTAAAATTTCAGCTTTGCCATTACAGGAAAAAACTACAATTTAAATATTTTTTTTTGTATTAACAAATTCTCAATATTCTGGTTTTACCTTTTCTCTTTTTTTTTGATAAATGCAGCCTTAGTGAGCAAAAGAGACTCCTTTCAAAACATTCAAAGAAACCAACCCCAAACATTTGAGACTATATGTCTTTTTTTCATAAGTATAACATAAATCATGTGAGATTGTTCTGCTCTTAATTATACTTACAAAGCAGAACTGTGTTTACTCCTTAAATAGGAGTTTTTCTAAACCCACTTTTAGATCCAGTTTATACTGATATACTAAATCAACGAACTGTTTAATCCCTGAGATATTTCATAACAAAATGTCTGAGGGATTTTGCTGGGGGTGATTCACGCAGTGTAGTTTATATATTTATTTTCTGGTCTGAAAGGTCAAACCCATCATTTGTTTAAGCTTCAGTCCTCATTAAAATACTTCACTGATCAGTGCTTCTCTGATCAGTAGAAAATGTCAGGATCTCACATCTCCCGCCTCTTGGCAACAGATTTGATGTTTCAACTATGAAATATGGATAAACGCATATGTCGTTTATGTAATGGAGATCCCTTCAAGTCTGTTGTAGAGAGGTATCTGCCCTTTGCATCACCGTCCTATGCCAAAGATGAAAGGCACATTTGCAGTCGTCAAAGGGTCTCATCATCAAGGTAATACCCCTTCCTCCACTTCTCCTCCTCATCCTCGGACCCCCACGTGTCTGAGAGGTGCCGTACAGCAGCATATAGTCGACATCACTCCAATAGACGAGCTGCCCGTTCACCCCCCACCCCCCCATCTAATTACACCTCTCTCATTGCACCAATTAGCATGGTGGGAAAAGAAAGGGTTGTAGGCTAAGAGAAGGAAGCTGAGGGCCACCTGTCGGGTTTGTGTCATTCATTAGGGATGGTGGAATGGAGGATGAAAAGCAGTGGGCTCACACACCCTGACTCCAGCTCTGCAGGAGGGGGACGAGCTCAGAGGGGCTCACCTACTGAACGCTCTCTTCTCGTTATAATGGCCCTAATTAAGAGGAAGGGGGGTTCAAATGAATCTCTCAACACTTTTCTTGTCTTTTATCAGGTTTCTGCATTCTCTACCTGGGATAAGGAGCTTCATAAGATTGTATTCGATCCACGTTATCTGCTGCTCAATCCTAAAGAGAGGAAACAGGTACACATTCCACTGTATTTAGCCGCTACTATGTCCACTGTGTGAAAACAGGTTCATATCAGCCTCCAAATGTATTGTACATTCGCCCACTCATCTCATGGCACTGTCCCCTCTGCAGGTGTTTGATCAGTATGTGAAGACACGTGCTGAGGAGGAGAGGAAAGAGAAAAAGAATAAAATCATGCAGGTCAAAGATGACTTCAGGAAAATGATGGAGGAGGCTAAACTTGGTGTCAGGTAAATGGTCAATGTTTGTAATATCGGTGTGCACTTTTGTGTTGGTTTATTTTTTGATAAACTCCTTGAAAATGGATCCAGGAAGGTTATTAAACGATAACATATTTTAAAATGTTTTGCTTTGTGTGGCATCTTAGGAATATGCAGTGCAAGCACAGCACAGTGTCAATAAGTTCAAACCTAATAGCCTATAAAAAACATTTTCTCAAATAAATGGTAGTCCACGCAAGTCAGCACGTTAAGCTGTTGTTGATTATTACCACTGCAACCACTTGCATATCAGGGATGGAATTGTCTTTTAATCCCTCATAACAATTAGTTTTATAAGTCTATAAGCCAGCTTAATTGTTATATACTAGTTTTACATGACCGAAGAAAAGGGAAAAGATTTGTGTAGGCTTTCAAAATACTCCCTCACCTTGCTCATCTTCCCAGTGGACATTTCTCTGAACCAGTCACAGGGTGTCAAATAAAATAAAAATTGTTTTGTCTTACTCACCAAATGTGCAATATAATACATTAACAAATCTATTTCCAAGTTGACTAGCTTAATTGACTAGTCAAATATTCGGTAGAAGAAAAATCCTTGAGAGAAGGGAACCCATTCTCCTCTTACATTGTAATGAATGTACAAATGTTAAATGCATAACCTAACTACAAGGACTACTTTTTTTCTCTTCACAGAACAACTTTCAGTGAGTTTGCTGCCAAACATGCCAGGGATTCACGTTTTAAGGCCGTTGAAAAGATGAAAGACAGAGAAGCCATTTTCATCGAATTTATGACCGCCTTCAGAAAGAAAGAGAAAGAGAACTCAAAGAACCGTGGGGAGAAGGTGAGGAACTTTATAGGAAGTTAATACACATCTGTTGCCTTATTTGACCAAAAGATGAGTTGAGATGTCAGCCTTATTAATCATTCAGAAGTGTCCCTTGTTATTTAACTGACATTTAATACAATAGAAACAAGTGCTCAATGTGTAGACCAAGAAAAACCAGGGCAACCTACCAAAGCATTTCACATTGAATATCTCTTGGTAACGTCACCTTCATTTTCGTTTAATAGACTACATGTTCACATAGAGTACACTCGTAGGCTGAGGCTAGGAGACTGTGAGTGTCTGGAAGTTGTTTATGAACTGTAATCTGCCCTGGTGTTTGATCTACATATGCGCTGTCTTTGTGGCTAGGGTTAAGTGCAGAAAGCCTGAGCTGATTGGCTTTGGCAGCTAAAGGTCAGCCATCAAACATTAATGCCAGTGAAATGTCACCTGTGTAGGGGGGCCATAGGTTAGGAGGGAGTGTTCACCAAGTGGGGTTCACCAGAGGATGCCCATCTAATTCCGTGATTAAACTGTATTAAAAATGATCAGGTGTCGTTTCAGTCACATTTTTTGAGATGTTGCCATTGACAATCACAACCAATCACATAGCACCAGATCTCAACACAATAGAGCATCTTTGGGATGTGGTGGAACAGGAGCTTCGTGCCCTGGATATGCATCCCACAAATCTCCATCAACTGCACGATGCTATCCTATCAATATGGGCCAACATTTCTAAAGAATGATTTCAACACCTTGTTGAATCAATGGCACGTAGAATTAAGGCAGTTCTGAAGGTGAAAGCGGGTCAAACACAGTATTAGTATGGTGTTCCTGATAATCCTTTTGGTGAGTGTATAGTTCATAAGTATACTGAAACTGTCCCAGTCTCCAACAAAATATTACTCAGGTAACTGTACGTTCACACCGCCGCCAGCGAGAGCGGCAAAATTCGCTCTTGCCGCTCTGTTAACGACGCCGTGGAAAGATTAGTGGATGCTCTGATGCTCTGACGTAGATCGAATTTTCGAATTGCAGAAAATTGATCGATGGAAATAACTTTAAAATTATAGTGACATGTTTGCTAACGAAATAAACAAAATAAAAGCCATACATGTGTGGTGTGGCTTGTGTGTTCATGGTTGAGTGCTATTATAATTTGCATTCTCGCTAAAAAAAAAAGTGTTCTAGCACGAAAATCTTGCCTATAAATAGTGTTGCGCGCCCTCTTATCAAATTCAAATGATCAACCTCCTCTATTTTGCTTGGGAACTAATGTGGCCGGAACCAAAGTTTACAGGACTGCGTTCTCTGGGATTCTCTCAAACGGAGCACTTCTACATTGCTTATTACCATAAAGTTGAACTGATTTCAACTCTACTCGCCGCTCTCGCTGTCCGAAACGCACCGCGCCGCTCTCGCCGGAGCTCGCCGCCGGCTCTCAATGAAAATGAATGACTTCCGGCCACTTTGACACTCTCGCCGGTGGCGGTGTGAACGTACAGTTATACAAGTGATAATTTAGCAGACTTTCCCAGCTCAACGGCGCAATTGTGGCGAGTGAGAAGTTGTTGTCCCATGTGGTATTTGAAACAGCATCCAGCCTACCAGCCTAGACAGGCCAAATTGAAACCTGTGTGTCTGCACTCTTAAGTGTTAGGGGCATATCCCACTACATTTATGTTGCTATTGTTTTCTTTTAGGTTAAGCAAGACTTTTTTGAGCTCCTGTCAGATTACCATGTGGATGGTCAGCAGCGCTGGAGCAAAGTGAAGGAAAAGATGGAGACTGACCCTCGTTATAAGGCTGTGGAAACCTCTGCAGCTCGAGAGGAACTCTTCAAGAACTATGTGGAGCGTCTGGCCAAGGTTAGAGAAGCCGCTTCACTTTACATCATGTTTTGGTGCCAACCCAACCCTGTGCTATTTTTAGACAATAAGAGAGAACTAAAATTCATAAAGGCATAAAAATATAGGGATTTGTATAATTTTACAGAGTGTTCAAAAGACGCATACAAACATAACTCCGTACTCTTCGTTTCACTTCACAATACTTTATTTATAAGCATTTACTTTGTTTGGTGATGAATGTAATTTCTTCTGTGGAGAATTTGCCCTGATCCTTGATTTTGATACTCATCCAGAATCCAAACTCTGAGAAAGAGAAAGAGCTAGAGAAACAGGCCCGGATAGAGGCCAGTCTGAGGGAAAGAGAGCGGATGGTGCAGAGATTCCGCTCGGAGCAAACCAAAGAGATTGACCGTGAGAGAGAGCAGCACAAAAGGGAGGAGGCCGTGCAGCATTTTAAAGCACTCATGTCTGATATGGTAATATAAAGTGTTCAAGTATGGCTTCATGTCATCTCATAACCAATATACAATGGAAATAAGTTTGTTACAACTATTCAACCACTTGTTGCAATTTTTACAATTTATGAAAAATGTTTGTATATTTATATGTACTGTGATTAGTTTAAACACATCACCATTTTCATATATAAACTTAATCTTAAATCTGATATTGTAAAAGTGTCTTTGAAAATGGTTTTCTGTATGTGACAGGTAAAGACGCCTGATGCCGCCTGGTCAGACACGCGTCGTAGCCTGAGGAAGGATCATCGCTGGGAGTCATCCTCATTGCTGGAGAGGGATGAGAAAGAGAGGCTCTTCAATGAACACATTGAGGCTCTTGCAAAGAAGAAAAAGGAGCATTTTCGCCAACTTCTGGACGAAACGACCTCGGTACAAAGTGCCCTGACACCATGACATGGATCACTTGTCTTACTCGGTTTGTTGTCAGTTAATCTGTTGTATTCAGCTTATTCAACTGACTCATATTCCTTCCTCTACATCAGATCACTTTGATGACGTCATGGAAGGAAGTGAAGAAACTCATTAAAGAAGATCCGAGATGCATCAAGTTTTCAAGCAGTGACAGAGTAAGGCCTGTCTTTGCCTCTTGAACTTTTTGAATGAGTTGTTCTTTATAGTAAGTCTATATAGTTATATCTTTATAGTAAGTCTATATAGTTTATAGTATGTTCTTATAGTATGTCTTTATAGTAATTTTCTGTACCTGTTGTTCACCTTTTCACCATAGAAAAGACAGAGGGAGTTTAGTGATTACGTTAAAGACAAGTACATCACGGCCAAAGCAGACTTCAGAACTCTCCTGAAAGAGACCAAGTTCATCACCTACAAGTAAGAAGCTTCAAATATATGATTCTGAAATTCTAGATCATTTTCAGGAATCATTAAATAATGGTATCCTATATAAATTCAATCATATATACAGTATATATATATATATATATATATATATATATATATATATATATATATATATATATACACTTAAGAATAAGGCTGACAGCTGTCTCTAGACACGTTTAGTGTTTCGTAAATCATCTTATAGCCATAAACATTCTAATGTAACAAAACAATTTTCTCTATAGCTTTTTGCAAGCTCTTTTGACTTGGCCACATTTGCTACTCATCTATCACATTCATGGGCTAAATGGATGTATATGTAATGACACAAGCAAATTAATTTTTTTATAGAGTTTCCAAAGTCTTAATTGTGTATTACCAATTTTGTACCATACAAATAAGTGACTTAAAAACAGCGGAGTTGAGTAGGGGTTGAAAAATTATGACGGCTGTATTACAAAAAAAAAATCTGCTCAAAGTACTGAAATCAAAATAAAATATAGCTGCGAGCAGCGATGGCGGGCCCAAGCCGGTGGCACCGCAACCCCGGTTCCTTTAGTTACCTAAAGGCACCCGGGTAGCGGTGCCGAAGGCTTTGGCCCTTTTATGATTAAATGTTAAAACAGCTTGCCATACTCTGTCATTTCGACTAGTCACAATTATGTTACAGATGTCTTAAATGATAATACAAACTATCCAAAATGTAATTACGAATAGACAGAAAGACGTTGTTGATATCTACAATGTTAATTCCGGACAGGCAAACTTAGCTTTTAAATGTTAAAAGGGCTTGCCATACAGGGACGTAGGCTCAGAGAGAGGCTCACCATATTCAAACCAAAATATCTGACTTCCTCTTGGTCCGAGCTAATGACTATGTATTAGAAAGTTGTCCGGCTTGAGGAGTACAATGTATATACCGATTTTTGTAACTGTAGATAAAACTAACAACCCCACTTTTGTCAAAAGGTGGCGCTATTTAGTCCTTGCACATTGCCCGTTTCTGAAACTTTGCACGTCTACTGGCTAATAAATGTGATGTATCTGTTGAGTTTCAAGCAATTTCAATTTCAATTTGACTGTTGAAAAGAAGTGCGCCGATTAGATACTCAGGATCGGTATCGGCTCTGACACTGCCATCTTTGACGAGGCTGATTCAAATTCTATATTGTGCATATACTATTCTGTTAGGCACAAAGGCACAAAAACTTTCTAAAGTACCATAAAGTTTTTGTGTACTGTATTATTAGTGTTCTGAAGCTATTATGTGATATAGAAATTAATATTTAAGTCATTAAATTCAAGAACACAAACTTTTCCCTCTCTGCGCCTGTCAGTCATTCTCCATTCAGCATTCAAACAGCACGTCACATTCGGTTACAGTCAATGATGAAACGATCTTCAATGATTCAATGTTAATCCTATTATACTGGATCTTTAAGATAAAGGTCTAAAGGTCTATATTTTCGAATGAAGAAACTTTTTCTTGCTGGACTTTATTGCTGTAACTTAATCGTGTTACTTTCTACCGGGTGTCGGACGCTGTCGGTTAGATCACAACACTAGAGTCAGAGCACTATAATTGTTCTTCACGCACACAGTAACTGAAATTTAAAACCTTTAAAAGAAAAGGCTCAATAAACTATTGCATAGATAGATAATGTATAATACACTGTTCATAAATATGTATTTCCTTTGTGCTTTGAACTTTTCAATACGGACTCAATGCGCTGTAACTTCATGTGGCTTCAAGCACATCATTCTCCGCTCGGGATGCACATAAGTGCTTTGTGCTGCACCGTATTAGAGCCGTAATATCATAATGCAGTGACGTAATGACAGATTATTAATTGCCTTTCAATTATATATTATATAGCAGCCATGGCTATATTTTTTTTTAATGATTTTTGTTATCTTGTTTTCATGAATGTATTTTTCAAAAATAAGAGCAATGTGTATTATCTATTATTAATATGGTTTATAATAGCATTTTTGTCATAGATTATGACAAACTAATCATATGATCCACCAGCGAGGAACCAGCAGAACAGAGTGAACATTCTTTCTGTTTAGTTCAATCCTACTTAATAGGAATTTATTTAAAATGCTCGCTCTAGCTCCACACCATTAATGTCTTGTGCGGACATCCGTATTTTGACTTTCGGTTTTAAGTAAGCGATTTAAAAGCTCCCAAGTCCCAGCGGAGTCACACGTTGATTAACCGGTGGGAATATACACAATAGGCCTACCTGATATTGAACACAAGAGGGCAGTATAGCACTACGTATGACTCAGATTATTATTTTTTTATGAATTTTACAACAATTCTGGCTGTTTTTGAACGTAAACACACAATTCTTAAATGAAAAAAAGGAAAAATTGGGGAATTATAATATTTGTATAATTTAATTTAGAAACAAATGATGTTATAATTACATTTTTAGAAGATATGAGGCTTTTAGTGTTTACTTTTTTGACATTACTTTAATCTTTTGCCATAGTTGCACATGTCTATTGGCTAATAAATGTGATGTATCTGTTGAGTTTCAAGCAATTTCAAGCAAGCTAAGAGTCCCAAAAGCATCAAAAAATAATGTTAAAGTTTGTTTCGTTGCCACGGCATTTTGAAAGTGACACACTTCCTGCTGCCAGTTGGTGGCGCTATAACTTTGACTCACAATAGTCACATCCATGTGATCGGTCTCTTACAGCGAAAACACTGCTGAAGTTTCATCAAGATCAGTTAATGTATGCTGAAGTTATAACACACATCCTGTTCCATGTTTCTCGCCATAATTTCGTTTCCTCGCCACGGCCAAACCGTTCGAGATATCAAAAATCCCGTGGCACTTTTTCATCCTTAATGTCTTGACTTCACGCTGATCGAGTTTCGTCGAATTTGGTTCAGTGCTCTAGGAGCAATAATTTAAATTACATTGCATGTGTTTTAAACACAACCCTAAATAGCCAACTTCCTGTTGGGCTGGGGTAAAAAGTAAGAGTGTGAAGTATATATGAAACGATGAGATCTATATGTCTACCAAGTTTCATATTATTACATGCAAGTGTGTTTGATTTATGGACCAAATTTTCAGACCAAGTTTATTGACCAAGTTAATCTGATTAATAAACTAATTATATAAAACTATTGTCAATTCACTACAATTAAACTAGTTATATGCCTTTACTTATAAAAAATAAAAATAAAAACTTATTTAAAAAATACCAGGCTTGAGAAATGTATTTTCTTTATGCAGGTCATACACACAGCAGTGAAATGGTTAAGCCCCCTCCCCTGCACACACACACACACACACACAGACAGCCAGCCAGCCAGCCAGCCAGCCAGCCAAAGGCTCAGAGTGGCCATATTCAAACAAAAATATCTGAGTTTCTGTGGGTCCTAGCTAATAAGTGTCAATTAGAAAGTTGTCCGGCTCGAGGAGTACAATATACATACCAATTTTTGTAACTCTAGTTAAAACTAACCACCCCACTTTTTGTCAAAAGGTGGCGCTACTGAGCCCTCACCACGCCCGTTTCTGCAACTTTGCACATGTCTACTGGCTAATAAATGTGATGTGTCTGTCGAGTTTCATGCAATTTGAAGCATGCTAAGGGTCTCAAAAGCATCCTAAAAGCATCCTAAAAGAAGGGTAAAGTTTGATGCGTCGCCACGGCAACAGTTTCAAAGATATCAAGAATCCATTCACAGGTCTACATCTGCCGTATGTTTACATTATACATATGAAGTTTGAAGCAAATCGGGTAAAAATAAAAGGGTGATATCTAAGCATTTTGAAAGTGACACACTTCCTGCTGCCAGTTGGTGGCGCTATAACTTTGACTCACAATAGTCACATCCATGTGATCGTCCTCTTACAGCGAACACACTGCTGAAGTTTCATCAAGATCAGTTAATGTATGCTGAAGTTATAACACACTTCCTGTTTCACGTTTCTCGCCATGATTTCGTTTCCTCGCCACGGACAAACCGTTCGAGATATAAAAAATCCCCTCGCAAACTTTCATCCTCAATGTCTTGACTTCACGCTGACCGAGTTTCGTCGAATGTGGATCAAAGCTCTAGGAGGAGTATTTGACATTCCATTGCGAGCGTTTTACAAACAAACCTCAATAGCCAAATTCCTGTTGGGCTGGGGTAAAAAGTAAGAGCGCGAGGTATAGATGAAACGATGAGATCAACGTGTGTACCGAGTTTCATATTATTACATACAAGCGTGTTTGAGTTATGGACCAAGTGTTCGGACCCCGTTCCAGGGGGCGCTGACGAGCTGCCCTGCCACGCCCGGGTACCATCTTCAGCCCGGCTCTGATGGCCGCGGGTTCTGACCCGTGTGCAAAGTTTCAAGAGTTTTCGAGCACGTTAAGGGCCCCAAAAGTGCCCAAAAGGTAGCAAAATAATAATAATACTAAAGAATAAATATAGCTGCGAGCAGCGATGGCGGGCCCAAGCCGGTGGCACCGCAACCCCGGTTCCTTTAGTTACCTAAAGGCACCGGGGTGGCGGTGTCGCAGGCTTTAGCCCTTTCATGATTAAATGAAATGTTAAAACAGCTTGCCATACTCTATCTGTCGTTTCGACTAGTCACAATTACATTACAGATATCTTAAATGATAATACAAACTATTCAAAATGTAATTAAGACTAGTCACTTTTGTCAAAAGGTGGGGTGTTGATATCTACAATGTTAATTCCGGATAGGCAAACTTAGCTTTTAAATGTTAAAAGGGCTTGCCATATAGGGACTACAGTAGGCTCAGAGAGAGGCTCACCATATTCAAACCAAAATATCTGACTTCCTCTTGATCCAAACTAATGACTATGAATTAGAAAGTTGTCCGGCTTGAGGAGTAAAATGTATATACCGATTTTTGTAACTGTAGATAAAACTAACAACGCCACTTTTGTCAAAAGGTGGCGCTATTTAGTCCCTGCACCATGCCCGTTTCTGAAACTTTGCACATGT